ATTCCTGCGTCTTTTGTGATCTTACAAAAGCTTCAAACGACGCGTCGACTATTAAATTAGTCGTCGACGATTTTGATAGTCGACGTAATCGTGACTAGTCGACTAATCGTGGCAGCCCTATACTAGACAATGAAGCCTGGAAAATCATCCATTGCTGTGTTACCTTCCTTGTTGGCCTCTGCTAGGCCTTTACTGTAGTTGGCTTCAGTTGCTATTTGTTTGTGGGTCACTCTGCTTCATCATGATTGACTGATATTGTTGTATGCTTTCGATCATGAGGTGTTCTTTCCCTTCTCCATACTTCCCCCAGTCTCAATACTTAGATGTTTGTCTTCTGTGGTCTTTCTTGCCCTTGGCTGTTAATGAGCTACCCAGTGCATGGCTTTTTAAGAATATACCCAGTTTTGCTGTTTTGTCTGATAGATAGATTTATTTTTCAGGGTAATGACGGCCTTTTTCAGTTGCATCAGCATCTGTCTGGACCTTATTTTAAAAGCACCAACGAAGGGCTACAAAAGTTTAGTATTTGGAATTACCACCTGATTTAAATCTCTGCTTAAATTAAAGCTGAAAGTCTGCACATTAATCACATCTTGGTTTTCTGTTTTTTTAAATCGACTGTTATGGTATACAGAACCCATTATTGGTTGCATTGTTCAAATACTTATGAACCTGATTGTGTGTATATTTTTCTAAATTTTGAACTCTTTTGTTAGAGCTTATTGTGAGAAAAAAGTAATGTATTATTCTGTCAGTGAAATCAGTGACATTTTATAAAACTGTGTGAACAATACCATAGAAGTCACTTGTGATTAGACAGGCATATTAGATGACAAGCTGTCATTTCACTGACTGTTCAGATTGCAAAAAACAACCTAGTAATGACCACTTCCAGTCGGTTCCAGAATTCATCACGACTGATTGAAAACTCTGGTGGTAACATTTTAATCAAACTATATAATTTCATGAATTGTAGCATGTCAGCAAGCGAAATGCCAATAATTATTAGTCACTCCTTTATTTTTCTCAAAATAGTCATGTACACTGAGCATTTATGTACATTATTCAACGTAGAATGACTCTGAATGATACTGAGGCACAGACTACAAAGAATAAGACACTCAAGTTGACCAAAATACAACATTGTCAGTTTAAAAACCATTAAAAGCAACAGACAAATTCAAAAGCATTGCAAAAAGTAAACTGCCACATCCTCATTTTTAGCTATACTTGTCAAAATCATTCAGCAGAATTAAACCTTTAAAAAACTGCAATTCGAGCCTTTAGTGTGTGGGTGAACTTCATTATACATTGAATTGTAAATTGCATTGTCTTTTACATTAAACAATTCCTGACATGGTTTTATTTCTTCTAATCCAACCATTCAATTCATGCCTCATATGAAGTATTGCATCTGTATGTTCCAACACGTTCGTAGGTGAGATGGAGCACATTTGTGACACCTTCCCACTTCTATCTGCATGGACATTTGCAGGCATTTCCAATAAATCCCAATAAATGTGTTGTTATAAGACCATCTATGATTGGATTCATATTTAAGCAAATACTGTACAATTTGGAATATGCTAGGACCGTGCACAATTAGAACACTGACCAATATTTAATGGAATTGTTCAACTTGGTAAAAAATGGATTTGTTTCTCTGAGTTAGACAGAAATATGTCAGTCAAGTAAGTTACCATCAGCATGTAGGTAGCTTAAGATAACTCCAGAGCACTGACTATAGCGCCTTTATTACACAGATGTGAAAGTGGTATTCATCTTTTGATCTGTTTGAAACAAATGTCTGCCTGTTCATTTAAAGATTATAAGACTACTCCTTGTTATTTTTAAAAGCATATTTGTGACCTTTAAAGCAAGTAAAAACATCAAATCCCTGGTCACAGAAAAGTAGATTGTTGAATGCAGCTTAAGTTCGCACAAAAGAATTGGCAATAAAGTAACACTGTACATTTCATTGGCTTCACCTTTTGCTTCATGTCTATTATGACTGGACATAACAAACTGTTTACAGTGCTTTAGTGGCATAAAAGGTCGACAGCAGTTGGAAGCTGTTTGTCTGTACGTAGTGCATTGATGAACTGTAACAGCATGAATTCCATTTCAGTGAGTATTTCTGCAATCGCTGTGTGGTATACTGTATGGTGTTGCTTCATTCTTCTTTAGTTTCTCCACTTAACACCATTTAAAATATCCAATAGCTTGGTGGAAAAAGGCTGTGAATTTATGTGGGTTTTTAAAATGGGAATTCACTCATGTCTTTTGCCCCCTAGAATCAGAGGACAGTCAGGGGGCGAAAAGAGACAAAGTTGAACAAAAATCTGTTGTATCAAGTCACCCAGTAATCCTTGTTACATGTTGTCACTAGAGATTAGGGAAGAAAAGCGTTTGCCTTTCACTGAGCATTAGAGAGTAAAATACAAAGCACTCACCACTACAAAAGAGTACTAAATGCACATCTCAGAATAGATTTCAAAATATTCTCTTTCTGTATTGTGAGTTTCTGTGTGAGAATACAAAAACATGTCTAGCTCACACAAATAAACAAAGATGAATTTACTACCCAAGGAAAAATTGCACTGTAAGTGAGTGTGAGTGATTTACAAATAGTGCATCATATGCTAACAAAACTATACTGTATTAACACAAGGGATGGATGTAATGAAGTGACACTTTAATAAACTGCCCTGAAAAGTTAAGTTTTCAGTCACAGAAAAGTTCCGGTAGTATTAATTTGTCGCTTTAATGTCATTTCAAAACAGTAATGTTGACTGAGCATTTTTTCCAGTGTCTGGTAAATCATTCCTATAGTTTAAATGAACTGCCACTGACAGACTGGGTTTATGTGGAGAAGCAGAGATTGGTAAGATTTGGCCTGTAAGGCAGGGTTAGCAGAGGTTTATTAACATTTTGGTGCCTACGTATTCTGTGTTCTTCTGTCTGCAGTAAATAAACCTTATAAAGGGCAGGCGATGTATTGCAGGTTTTCTTGATTGCTTAAACACTATAACCAATCTTTTGAACTAAAATTTCAAAACCATAATGCTATTTTTCAAAAAGCACACCCATTTCCTTGAACTATAAACACTATTCCCCTGCTTTAACACATGAGTCAGATGTGGGGAACTGTTACTGCAAAACTCTACACACAAATCCCTACATTTTTCAGTGCTTATACCATGTGGCCATTTAGAAAGCACTTGCATTCAATAATGTTAACTTAAGTCAGCACAGCTTGAGCTCAATTAGCACACAATTAACCAAGTGGAAACACTACAAGTCAAAATTTATCACACACCAATCGGAAACTCATTCAGGTTTGAAACAATGGATTCAAAGAGATGCAAAGGAAGAGGTTGAGGAGGAAAAGGAGGTCTAGGAAACCAAGGAGGAGGTGGAGGAACATAATTGGCCATTGGGCTATTGTAAATGTACCTGGTCAGCGTGGAGGGAATGTCACTCTGTGCGCAGCAATCAGCCAACGAGGGGTACTCCACCGCCATGCCATTCTAGGACCCTATAACACTATGCTTCTCCTTGCTTTTCTTGATGGTCTAAGACAACATATGTTCCAGCGGGACTACAGTGAACCAGCACAGCCAGAGCAGCCTCACTATGCTGTTGTTTGGTGTAATGTCAGCTTCCATCACACTGCTCTGGTTCATGACTGGTTTACCAATAACCCAAGGTTTTCTAACATCTTTCTGCCTGCATACTCTCCCTTTCTAAACCCGATGGAGGAGTTATTTTCGGCGTGGCGGTAGAAAGTGTATGACAGAGAACCTTATGTCCGTGTTCACCTCCTCCGGGTCATGGAAGAAGCCTGCCTATACATATCAGTAGATGCATGCCAGCGGTGGATCAGGCATGTGAGAGGATTTTACCCCTGCTGCCTGGCCAGGGTCAATATAGCCTGTGATGTGGATGAGATTCCCGGACCTGACCCAGATCACAGACAGGATGCTGAGGTGGAATAATGTTTTTAATGTGTGTTGTACTGTATGGTACATGAATAAAAATGTGCCACTGTATTAGGGCTGGGCGATATGACCCAAAATTCATATCTCAATATTTTTTAGCTGGATGGCGATATAAGATATATATCTCGATATTTTTTTTAAAGTTTTAAGTTTTAAGTTAAGAACAAAAAGAGAGTTCTAGTCACACTGTGTCCCAGATGTCACACGGGCACTTTTATTTACATACAGCGTAGATGTACATGAAGAAATTACTCAAAAATAAATTATCAGCATTTATTAAATAATCATGGTCCATAAATAAAAGAAAACAATGTTGTTTTTGTGCATAACAAAAAGCTCACAATTGTGCAGTCAAAATGTAAACTAATAGACGCTGAGCGTAATAACAAAGAGACAGATTTCACAGCTGCACCACGTCTCTGAACAGGTGCCATTTGTGGTCCTTATACACACACAGTACGTATCACTCCACGAGGCTCCTCCTCGGTAGCCGTAATCCTCCGACAATCCATCAAGCGGTGCAGCTCCGTAGCTTAGCAAAGTCATATTAAAACATTTTTTGACAGATTGCTGAGCGCTGTGTACCACATAAAATCGGTTCACGTCAGTAAGCACAACCAGAATCCATACATAAGGCGCACTGTCGAGTTTTGAGAAAATGAAAGGATTTTAGGCCGTGCAGCTCCTCCGGGCTGCATGTCGTTAGCGCGGTTAGCTCGTTAGCGTGGTTAGCTCGCTAACACGTTGACACCGTCCAGCCCCACGCACGGGGCGATTCGAGGTAACTCGCTAACGGAGATTTTCTGCTTTCATCTTGTCATTGCCTGCAGGTGAAGCTATGGGGGAGGGGGAGTTGTGTTCAGTGAAGGAGAGGCGAGGCCGAGTAACGTTGCGTAGAGACAAAAGTGGACGAAAGAGAGGCAAACCTGCGGCTCCATAAGTATAATTATAACGTAACATAGACTATATAAACGATATTGTCACATCTTATATCTCGTATGAAAATATATCGATATTTTTAAAAAACTCGATATATCGCCCAGCCCTACACTGTATGTACATTGGATCTTTTGTTTTCATGATGTAAAAAGGTTTTTGAGGGGAAGAACCACAAGCAACATAACTTGACAGTTTTTGAAATATTGTTTTCAATTTATTGCACCAATGTGTAAGACTATGTTGTAGTGTGTGTGTTTTTGAGGCCTTGTGTGTGATGTCTGTGGACAAAGTTTGGTTTTTCAGCAAGAGTGAATGGTTTTGAGTGTAGAGCTTAATTTTGACCTGAAAATACAATTTTCGGGAAATTGAGTGAGACGTTATGGATTTGTGTTTACTGTTTTGAGAATACGAGCCATAGTTTCAAGAAAAGTGTTTAAGCAATCGAGAAAAACTGTAATATATATTAGACTAATAGCTCCATTTGTAAAAGGAAGAGTAATAATGAAGGTATAAAGAAATTATTTGGCTTTCTTTGTTGTAATGAATCAGATACAGTTGTAAGTCAGGCTGTGGGAAATTATAATGGGCATTTTCACCTTGAGGGGACAACTATATAAATAAAATTGAGTTGAATTGAAATTTTAAATCAAATTTCAGTTAGCGAGGGAAAAATGGTATATTTATCTAAAATGAAAATACTCAGTAGTTTCACACCTCAGATTAGTGAAATGTATAATTTCAGTAGATCTCAGTGAATTTGCTAACTCATTAAAAAATCAATTTCAGCTTAACCAGATTGCACTGTAAAATGTGAATTTATTTATAAAATACAAAGAACAAATGCATTACAAGAATACACCTGTAAAACCCTGTACTATATATGTAACTGCTGAAGTTGTTTAGGTAAGACATCTCTAGAAAACGGAGTGAAGACAGGATGTGTAAATTCTAAAATTAAGAGAAAAGAAAAGCTGTAAGGGAAAGAGTGAATTCTGATGAGACGTGACGCTCAAATGGTGGCAAGTAAATGATGTGGTGCAGCAGGGATACAGAAGAAAAGTGCATTAGTCTGACTTTCTACATCATTAACTACTACATGTTGCTTCAACTTCCTATGTACCTGTATGCATGTTGTAAGCTAAAGAGCAACCTTCACAGGGGAAAAAAACACATTACCCCAGCTATATACCAACAAACGTGTAATGAGAGGGGTAAAGGTTGGGTACTGATCTATGGTGATATCAATTCTAAATTTACTTGAGCTTGTGTGTCTTCACATAAAAGTACAAGAGAGGCTTGTGTGGTGCAGGTCTAATTGTGTCAGAATTTCTACTGTTAGTTTTTATCTGTCAGTGATGGTAGAGAGCAGCTTTACGTAAAGTCTTTTGACACGGCTTCAATGAAATTGGGAGCTGACATGAGAATAGTGAAGGTGCAGATGATGGAGAACAGCGAGAAGGCCACCAGGCATAACCGGTCCACGACTGCAGCTGCAAATTTCCACTCGCTGCAGATTGCCTCCCCCTCGTCCTGCTCTCTGAAGCGATTCGCAATGTACTGCACTTCTTCCAAAATCCGGCAAATTTCGGGAATCTGCTCCAAAAGCAAAGTCCGTGTCTGGTCTGAGTGGATGTCAAGCTGGGAGGTACCGTTATGATGATTCCCTCCACCTCCATTTCCACCACCGCACACAATCACACCTGAATCAACACTAGGTGGAAACACAGGGTTGTCTGTGCCCATTGAGTGGTAGCTAAAGTATAGGTTCATGTTTCCATTGGTTGTTGTTGTCTGAGTAGATGGCTGCCCTGGTATGGTGCTCATCTGAATGCTGGTGGTGCTAGTGTGGTGAGCAGGAGAATGGGAGTACTTATAAGTTGGAGGACTGCTTGAGCTCACTGGAGTTTTGCTTTCCTCTCCAGGCTTCTTCATACGGAGGAACCAAGCGCACCAGTTGAGAAGAAAGACTCGGACCTGAAAGAAAGAAATAAGAAAGATAAAGATTTAGCTGGAGGAAAGAAGGTGGAAAGATTGGATTGATATGTTAATTTACACTGGAAAGTGTTCCTTAGACTACCATGACCTGGATGACAGAGAACCTACATAGACAGTTTAATTGACACTTACCAAAAAAATAGTCTAAAATCTTCTAAAATGACTAAAGCTAGCAACAGAATTGAAACAACAGTTGGTATGATTTCATCCTGAAAATTTCTATTTCTTGCATTTATTTGGTGGCCTACCAAAAAGGCAAAGCTTCTTAAGAGAATGAGAGCAGGACTAAAAGGAAAAAAATCAAGAGATAATAGCAGGATACATCAGAAATGACCTGTTCACAGCCACTCTTAAAATGTTGCCCCACGTGGTAAAGGGTTTAGGAAAAGTTTTGCAGAGTATAATTTTAAAAAGTACCTTTAATCATTGTGTAAGATCTTGGTGTCATGTCCTTAGACAAACAAACTAGAACAGAAAATGGACTTATACTGGCTCAGCGGCTGTACCTCTATGCATTATGTTAGAGCAGTGGTTGTCAGGTGAAAAATATGATGTGAAACTAAGGAGATTCAATTTTTTTTTAAATTTTATGGGGTTTTTTTTTTACTAAACAAAGAAGGATCTGTTATTGTTATTGTGCTAATGATGTGTACCCTTTTTGTTGCAAGAACTAACCTTTTTCAACTTCTAAAGAGGGGCACATCAAAGCTTGGAAACAGTTTTAGAGAGGTGGTTATTGAAATAATACTGTAATTAAATTGTCTCTTTTTTCCCCTTATTGAACTCACCCATTTAGGCATTTTTCCTCCGTGGGGGTCATGGTGGTGGAATTGCAGAACCAGAACAGTTACCACCACCGACAATCCCACAATCATCATGGTGCTAGCAAAATACTGAGCTGAAGAAGAATACGAACAAATCAGTATATTGCAATTTCAATAAAGGACACATGGCTTGCTAGTAGATATTGTAGTCTGTTACTGAATGATTTATTTATTTAAATATGTAAGTGAAATGGTCATTTTAAAATTATTAGATTAGAAAGCATCATCACTGTCACCAAGTAAGGTAGCTGGTTGATTATTCAGTGAAGAAATTATCCCTGTCAACAAATCTAAGGTCATAACACCCCAGGGGCGGTTAAGAGGATGACTAACATCTTTTTTGTTAATGTAAAATGTAGCCAAAAGACATAACACATACGCAGCCTTGGAGGCACTGGAAGACACACAGGGACATAAAAATGCATATCCTTTCCATGTAGGAAAGCATGTTTTTCAAACACATTCTGATGCAGCTGTGATGTCAGCGATTAAGTAGAAAGGCGGGCTAATGAAATTATACGTTTCCGTGTCACAATATAATTGGAATTGTATGATAGCCTCTGATAGTAAATTTCAAAGACATTTTTGTCTTTTATCTATTATCTCTGATATACAGTATCTGTAGTGTGTTAAACATCTACTCTAAAAGGCGTGTTTGCTCTTGGCTTTGTTTTACATCACTGAGCTGCCAGATGATGCAGGGCAGCAGCCCTATCTGCAGCTTCTCCTCCCTTCTTAAAGTCTGCTGCCTTGTCTTCCCCTGTCTGCATCAGTATGGTCTTATGCAACACAACTGTTTATCTCCTACGCTGAATATAATCTTCACATACTGCATCAGCAAGCAAACACCCACCCCACACTCTTTAGAACCCGCCCACAGCCACAACATATCAGTCCATCTGTGCAAAGAATGTTTTCTGCTACAGACTGCCCTGTGATGTGAGTATGAGGCATAAAGATCTATTTTGACACTCTAACCTATTGTAGCCAACTGTCTCCTGGGTAAATTATTCTTTTCATCCAGCAACTTTCCATGGTTTTCTCTCTGAACAGTAAATTGAGAAAATAAAATCTCCATACTGACCCACTACCCTCACTGTGGCACTTTATACCTTTTCCACCTTTTGGGCAAGTCATGATATATTATAATTTTCTTACCTATTTATTGCAAAAATAAGTCCATCAATTAAAAATAAACGAAAAATAGCGCACATTTTGGCTGTTAAATATTTGAAAATGGAAATATTAGATTGTGATTTAAATAACATTTTCTAGTGTTGGCATCCATAACCAATTTAGAATCACCAATTAACATCCATGTCTTTAGGTGGACACCAGAGTACAGTCTTTATGCACTACTGTGTAAATGGACTTGGTTAACTGATTATCAACAATTGCAATTGCTTCTATTAAAGCAGACATTTTGGCAGTTGACTCAGCAAATTAAGTGGTATGATAAGACCTTAAAGGAACTCCCCATAAACTTTGCAAAGAAGATTTCTTCACAATTATTTTAGGGACTAGTGAAGTCATATAGAAAACCAATCAGTGCTTCAAGTTATTGCTGCTAAATGTTGTTCTACAAGCCACTGAATCGAGGGATGTGCATACTCAGACTGCATAGGTTCCTATGAAAACCTTCACAATTCAAAATTGCTTTAATGTTGTTTTTAAACCAACAATTAAATAATTACCAATAAAAGCATTACGAGGAGCTGAATATTGTCTTACCAATTAGAGGAACTGAGTCTGAAGTGGCAGGCATGATCTCTGCTACCAGTAACATGAACACTGTCAGAGACAGCAGTACCGTTATGCCTGAAAAGGGCAGACACACATTAGATACATTATTTCATCAAACATCTCTATTGCTGTTAAATTGTGACTTGAGAGAACTCAAAATAAATGCAGCTGGTTGTCTTCAAAACAGGTGACAAAAGCTATGAATTTATTTTTGGAATATTTACTATCTTATCCACCGTCAAAGGAGCACTGTCATTTCTATTTAGTGCAGCCCTGTCTCACGGAATGGCATTTTGAAACAAGCTGGCATTTTCAGGTCCACATGATTATCTTTGCTGCGTTAACAGTGGTGCTTTTGTTCATCTGCTAAGGAACAGAATTCAAAGCAAATGCTTATTCACAGCAATAATGTCAGCACTAGCATAAAGCAAAGACAAATAAATGGGTAAGCAATTGCAGTCTGGTGGGCAGAGATGACCAAAGTAGTGGAGAAAGGCACATTTTTGTCTACATGTATGAATATAATCATGAATCATTGTCCCTCTGCGTGAAACTGTGTATCTGTGTCTTTGTGTGCAAGGATGGCCTGATGTGTATGTGATCCTCTGTACCCAGTGAGATCTTTTCTCCAGAGTCAGCAGGGAGCAGAAAGACCAACAGTGCCAGACCAGAGATGAGCACACAGGGGATGAGCAGGTTTAAGCCATAATAAAGAGTCCTGCGGCGCATAGTGACTGTGAACGTCACATCGGGGTAGGGCTCCTTGCAGCAGTCATAATACAGCTCATTACGCTTTGCTGGTACACCTGGGAGACATATTAAGGGGTAAAAAGGTGTCAGTTTAGAGGTCAAAAACACAGAATTATGAAATAATGGTCCAGTTCTTTCTTCTGCTTGACTGAATATTTTTTTATAAACACTAAAATAAGCCAATAATGCACATTTTTAACTGCATGTATGGCCTTGTTAACAAAAAGGCATTAGTTAAAATGAATAAAATGTAAATAAATAATCCTTTCTGTCATCGTTGTATTTTTACTCAGTTGTATATAGTATTTGTATTTGTATTCTATTTTTATCTTATTGTATAGTTATTTTATTTTATTCTACTGTATATAGTATTTTATTTTATTCTATTCTGTACAGTTGTGTACTGTATTTATTCTTATTGTATTCTAATTTTTGCCTCATAACTTTTGCACTGTCCACTTCCTTTCCTGCTGTGACAAAACAAATTTCCCACGTGTGGGACTAATAAAGGTTATCTTATCTTATCTTAAATACAGGCAAAATACTTGTAGAAGTATAATGTTTTACATTTTATGGAAAGCCAACTTGTACTTTTTATAGAAGATGTTGGAAACTTATGAATATGATAATAGTACTTTTTTCTTCTTCTTTCAATTTCTGTATTTCATAAATTTGTAGACTTTAACCAATCAGATTAATATTATTTTGTCCAGACTGGAATTTAGTTAATCATGTTTGGAAGTGGCTTGCTTTGAAAAAAACAAAAACAAAAGAAAATCAACTTGTGCCTAATAATCTCAAATCCATTCCACCTGTTTGTTTAGCAGGAAGTTATATAAAGAATTGCTCATACAGTAGAGACTGAAATAGAAGTTGCAAGTTCATGGCTTTAAAATGACAGCCATTTGTTGAGACCAGTAATTGGCTTTTGAATCTGTTTGCTGACCAGCTGGCCATCTTTTCATCCTGTTATTGGAATTTGTTTGATCAAAACCAGCTTGATAACTTTCAAATATAAACTATTAAAATTTATGAATACTTCCACATCTATTTTACAGGCAAACAACAGTTCCTGTTCCTTACAGCATATTTGAAAGGCACCTTTTGTACACAGTACAAGTTCAACGTATCAAAACAAGTAAGGGTAGACAAAAGATTTAATGAAAACAGTAAAATGACATTAAAAAGCAGTCACTAAAGTTTATTTTATGTTCAAGTTCATTTCATGGTGACTAAAAAGTGAAAATATAGCTTTCATGTCCAGATGGCCAGATCTGAACAGTAACTCTGTTTTTGTAAAAAACAAATAAACAAAAACTAAAAGGAGCGTGTATTTATCTTTAGCTGTAATTTAAATAGTTTCAAATAAAATTCTCTTTGGAGATTGTGGAAAGTTAGCTGTAGCTGCAATGCATTGTGCCATGATCATTGTTTGTATTATATGCCGAGCAAGAGTAAAGGACTGCCACAAAATGTTAAAACCTGCAAATGTTAGTAAATGCTTCAGATTACCCAGCTACATCTCCAAAAAGCAGTCATATATATCTGCCATGTTCAACACTATAGTTTTATCTTTGTTGTTGGCATAGATATATTTTGATTTTTAAAAGGTCAGTAACAGAAATCAACATCACATTGGCCTGGCCATAGTCAGAAAAACTACAAGTACAAGAACAATTGTATAGCTAAATGATCAGTAACAATAGCAGATGTATTTCATATGTATAATCATTTTAAGGTGGAATGCAGACAATGTTAGCTTGTCCTCTGGATTAATATCATCAATCAAGGACCTCTGTGTGAGTATGTGTGACTGCCAGGCAGTCATGTGTAGCTTACAATCAACAATCAGTGATGAATAAAAGTCAACCCACAAGAGTGCTGCCTGTGTATGGTTTACCCAGCATTATACACCTCTAATAGCAATTAATTGATTGTGAAAATGACACAATCAACAATACAGTCAAAATGCACAACTTTTTTCAAGTCAGTAACAGAAAACACTTGATATTACCACTGCGTGTGTGAGCGTTACTTCCTATAGGAATTCAGTTTAAATTGATTGCTCGGATTCAATTTCATTTCATTTAAAACTCTTGTCACCCGCTTGCCGAAGAGAAATAGCCTTTGTTAGTTTCTATTAATTTGATGGATTGTAGACCTGCAGATGCATTTACCAGATCTTGTGTGTGTGTGTGTGTGTTTGTGTGCGTGTGTGTGTGCGCGTGCGCGTGCGCGCGCACGCTCACTTGTATGGGGTCATGTCCTCCATTCCCTTTAGGGACTTTAACCTGACAGAACACTAACCCATGGGAACATGTGTCACCCTAGAGACTTAAAAGTGCAGTCCCGAAGGGTCCAGACTGCTTTTTGGGGATAAGAGTTGGTTTTAGGGTAAAGGTTATAAATAGGTGAAGGGTGGGGGTGAGGCATTCAGTTGTGATAGTTCAGATTAGGTTAATGGGCTCAGGAATGGTTTAATTTAATGAGTTACCCCCTGAGACAGTGAAACAATGTGTGTCTGCTTGCTTTTGAGTGTGTGTTTGCACTCTTGCATGAACATGGGCATGTTCTAAGGCACCAGGACAGTGTGTGTTCTTGGTCAGCTAGCTGCCTGGCTGTGCCTGAATTAAGTGAACCATCCCTAGGCCAGCTGTCACCACACACACTCACAACCCCCCATCTATTCCCCCAGCCAGCTGGGTGCACCAACTCTGTGTGTTAGTCAGTTTGTGTCTGGAAATTATTCCATTGGCCTCCGATTAACACCCAAACCTGGATTAGAGATGATGTGAGTTCTTTATTTCCATATGGAGACACAAGCAGTGGAATATATACGGTAAAAATATTGATAGGATGAGGGATAAAGTTAGGAGGATGATTTTAAACAGCACTTTGATGGGCAACTTTCCATGTTTTTTGATATGCTTTATCCACTTGAGTCATCAACCCTAACCCTAACTGTAGGCAAAATGCTGGAGTCATTTCCTAGATGCTTCTGAAAGGCTTGAAGGTATGAACTGAGAGAGTTCTTTTTAACTACTTCTGATGGATTTTATTTTTAGCTTTGCTAGCCTACCTGTTGTGATCAGTATTTGAAATTAGCATCACCTGTATTGTACAGAAATGCTGTCAGAAACAGAATTTGTTGAAGATTTATTTAGTACTATAGTAAATAGAAGCTGCATTATTCACCCCATCTAAAGACCCCTTCGTTGTGGACTGATTGACTAAGAGAGTGGCATCTTACAAAGAAAGAAACACAGCTGAAACACCTGCTGTGTGTGACACTGATTGGATGTTTCACATAGTTAATGCTGAATCTCAGTGAGAGTCTTATCAGGGTCTTTCTTATTCAGCATCTATGCATGACATTTTGTTTTCGTTCTTACCAACAAGGTCCCACTCCCCATTGGGTATATATGTAGAGACATCGACTTCCATCATCTGGAGATCCAGCAACCAACCATTGTGGGTCCAGGAACCAAATTTCAGGTCACACTTCTGAATATCAAACGGGAACCACCGAACGTCGATGTAGCAGGTACTCTTCAAGATACCTGCAGATAAATTACTTTTAGAAACCAATCAGTTTTTTTTATGTAAATATTTATTTTTAAAATAATAAAAAGTTACTTCTACATGACAATTTTTACTTAAACATACTTTAAATAAATGCTTCTCTGATACTAAAATCTAGTATATTCCAAGCCATTTATTATAGGCACTGATATCCTTTTAGAATACAAATAAACATCAGCTTTGCGATTAAAAAAAATACTGATCTAGAAACAGATCAAGAGCTTTAGTTAGTGTTATATCAAACATTAGAT